GCACGTGCAGAATGTCGCTTCCAGATCTCAGGAACGGCTGGGCCGATTGCGTCCAAATTTGGCACACCGCTAGCGACCGGTTAGAAGAGTGCTTTGCACAAGCCCGTTGGAAGTACCCTCTCGCCCTTCCGCACGTGCAGGGCTCATTATCTCGCTCTCTCGTTATTCGCCCAAAAGGCGTTTTACTGGTAATAATTATCATTAAAACCCACCTTAATATAGATTAAGGTGGATTTTAATGAGAGATATGCACCATCATCCTTAATTGTGGTTGTATGTAGCTAATTGGTACGTATGACAAAATGCAATTATGCACGTAATTCAACGCCGCATCTTCACATAACGTTGAGGGTTCAAAATGAATTCAAGGTGAAAAGTAAGTGGGGTGTAATTTACTTTTCAGAGAAAAAAATCATGACGTCACTAATTTTCAATGCAGCACGAAGTACTTTCACCTAATCCGAAATAAATGAATCAAATCATAATAAACATAATTAAAGTGTACAAAATTCAAGTCAGCCTTGGATGTTTGCTTTCAGTTAAAATTGCAGTCATTAACCCGCGCCCCACTGGGGTCTGCGTATAACACGCCCTACTGGGGGGAGGGGGGCTCTTCATAGCCCCCCTCCTAACTCCGAAACTACTGGACCGATCGTCAAAATTCAAACGGCGTCTGATAGCCCTGGAAAAACTGTCATCGAAACCTAATTTCATTGAGCTCGAGGTCACCGATGACGTCACAGGACAGATCAAAGTAAAAATTGTTAGCATTTTGGCTTGTTCACATTTTGGGCTCTGGCTGCCGCCTTACAAGTCAGATCGGGCTCATTTTTTGTTTACACACTCGTAAACAAATGCTTTAGATACCCTGAGGGTACCAAACTTATACTTTGATTTTCAGGTCAGGGTCAGGTCATCACAGGTCGCGGAAATATTATATCATACGTCGTTCACGTGACACATGTTTTATGGTCCATTTAGGCCATAGATTTCGAATTTGATGTCGTCTGAGTCATTGGAGGTCATTTTGAGTCGAATTCAGCTTAGGTCAGGTCACTTTCAGGTCAAAAAAGGTCAAATTTTGAAGTTAAAATTGTTAAACAAAAAAGGTGTCTATTAGATGCAGTTTGAGCTCAGGAACACGATGGTGCCATTTATATTGGTGTACGATGTCAAATACGTACTGAAAAATTGATTTGAAAAATTAATAATTGTGATTTTTTTGCAATAATGCGTATAACTTGGCCATTTTTGAAGATATTTAGCTAAAACTTGGAAGAGTAAGTCATAAGCATACGTTTTATCACATATATTCCGCTTTTTTCGAAGAGTCAAAAGAAAAATTGAAAAAATATAAAAATATAAATTTTGAATTATATTTTCTAAAATTTTCGAAATTTTAAAATTTTTGAAAATCCGAGACATCAGTTTGATAGCGCAATCTATTCTGAGTACTTTCATGCAACGAAATTGGATCTAGCTTAAAAACTGAGCTCTTGGGAGCGATTGCCGTCGTTCCATGTTTTGCGTCGAAATCGGCCGAGCATGACGTCACTCTGACGCAGGGGCGGATCCAAGGGGGGGGTCACATGGGTCATGGCCCCCCCCTTGAGGCCCGGGGGCCCAAAGACCTGCCAGGGGCACCACCGGCCTATCAGGGGTATCACAGTCCCGACAGGGGCACCACAGGACCGCCAGGGGCACCACAGGCCTAGCAGGGACACCACGGGCCTGGTGCCCCTGGGCCCTGACAGGACTGTAACGCCCCTGACAAGCCTGAAGTGTCCCCGGCAGGCACGTGGTGCCCCTGACAGGCCTGAGGCGCCCCTGCAAGGCCGGTGGTGCCCCTGGCAGGCCTGTGGTGTCTATGGCAGGCCTGTGGTGCCCTTGCTAGGCCTCTGGTGCCCCTGACAGCTTGTAATGCCCCTGGAAGGACTGTGGTGCCCCTGGGCCCTGACAAGCCTGAGGTGCCCCTGACAGGCCAGTGGTGCCCTTGCTAGGCCTGTGGTGCCCCTGGCAGGCCTCTGGTGCCCCTGACAGGCTTGCGGTGCCCTTGGAAGGACTGTGGTGTCCCTGGGCCCTGACAAGCCTGAGGTGCCCCTGACAGGCCCGTGGTGCCCTTGTTAGGCCTGTGGTGCCCCTGGCAGGCCTCTGGTGCCCTTGCTAGGCCGCTGGTGCCCCTGGCAGACCTCTGGTGCCCTTGCTAGGCCGCTGGTACCCCTGCGCCCGGAGAGGACTGGTGCCCCTGAAAAGTCTGAAGTGCTCCTCGGCAGGCCCGTGGTGCCCCTGACAGGCCCAAGGTGCCCCTGCGAGGCCGTTGGTGCCCCTAGCAGACCTCTGGTGCCCCTGGCAGGTCTGTGGTGCCCCTGGCAGGTCTGTGGCGCCCCTGGCAGACCTGTGTTGACTGGTGCCCCTGCTAGGTCGCTGGTGCCCCTCACAGACCTGTGGTGCCCCTGGGCCTTGATAAGCCTGAGATGCCTGGCTATGACAGGCTCGTGGTGCCCCTGATAGACCAGTGGTGCCCTTGCTAGGCCTGCAGTGCCCCTGGCAGGCCTCTGGTGCCCCTGCTACCCCTGCGCCCGGAGAGGACTATGGTGCCCCTGAAAAGCCTGAAGTGCCTCTCGACAGGCCCGTGGTGCCCCTGGGCCTTGACAGGCCCAAGTTACCCCTGCGAGGTCGGTGGTGCTCCTGGCAGACCTCTGGTGCCCCTGGCAGGTCTGTGGTGCCCCTGGCAGGCCTGTGTTGACTGGTGCCCCTGCTAGGCCGCTGGTGCCCCTCACAGGCCTGCGGTGCCCCTGGAAGGACTGTGGTGCCCCTGCCCCTAGGGGTGCTCATGGGCCCAACAGGCCCGTTGTGCCCCAGACAGGCCTGTCGTGTATACTTGCTAGACCTGCGGTGCCCCTGCTTCCTGGCAGGCCTGTGGTGCCCTTGGCGGGCCTGTGGCGCCCCTACAAGACCGTAGGTGCCCCTGGCAGGTTTGTGGTGTCCCTGGAAGGACTTTGGTGCCCCTGACAAGCCTGAAGTGTCAAGGACATACCCTTTAGACGCCAGGGTCAAGTTCGTCGGACTGACAACGATTTGCTTACCTGATAACGTTCCTGGTAACTGGTAAGTACTCATTACTCAGCGTCCACAACATATATACACATAGCACATTCATATATACTTGCTTACAATTGGTAAATGTGGTTGTGGCTAAGAGTTAAGATACTGACAAAAAAAAAATAAAAAGAAAAAAAACTGAAAATGGGGGCACCACCAAAATGAAGTGGACGAAATCCGTTGAGTTTTTAATTTTGGGTATAGGTAGGGGCACCACTTCGATTCATGACCCTCCCCTTGGAGTTTTCCTGGATCCGCCCCTGCTCTGACGTCATTTCCGGCCAACCTATGGTAGCTACGAAGTTCTTTTTTTGACACAAGGTGTCAAATTGATGCAGACGAAGGTACTGAAAGTTTAGCGTCGATACGTCAAGCGATTTGGAAGGTATTGCAGAAAAACGGGAGGGGGCTATGAATAGCCCCCCCCCCCAGTGAAGTGGGTTATGACGTCACTTAAAAGTTCATTTGCGTTATGGTCAAGATTACTTTACTCCTCCGTTATGGTAGCGCTGCGGAGTTTCCCTTGCATTCCGGATATGATATCAAACATTGTCGACAAAAGTTGCTAACAAGTTACCATTATGGCTGCCCTTATTCCAATGGTTCAAGTGAAACGATTGATTCAAGAAGCAATCGTCCATTGAAATGACGTCATGCAATACAAATCTTTATCTTTTTATCCTGGTGGCTGAGTAGACTGAACATATGACAAGTCACTCTGAATCGATTCAAGAAAGGCATGACTCACGTTTCCTTGAATCGGTTCATTTCTTTTTTACTTAAACTGCCTGCACATATACGACTCGACTCGACTCAAACTCATTCTGAGGCCTCTTGCACCAAACTACCTACCTAGGTAAATTCCGATTTTACCTAGATTCTCTTGCACCAAACTACCCACCAAAAAACGCTACCGTGAATATTTACCTAGAAATTCTACCCAGCGGCATCGGAACTTACCAGTTGTTAAACTCCGACCGGCTGTTTTCCTCTTGCACCGAAAGCCGGAAAGAAGTAATCGCGGAGGACTTTTTGACGATTTGACGGTAAACTCGACTTCGAAAATAACTAGCAAAAGCTTAGGTAAAATGATTCAATTAGTAACAATAGGCACAATACATGATAATCCACGGGTACTTTAATGTAAATTAGGCATTACAAAATGTTTAGACAATGGTAAATCAATGTTTTATGAGTGAATAATAATATAATTGACCACACGCTCCATCAGTACACTGAGGTGCTTCTCCGTATCAAGGCGATAAACCTCCGTAACAAAACAGCCTCATTAAAGACTCGCTCGTTGCCATGGAAACGAAACTTATTTGTTCAAATGATTTAATATCTAGGCAACTTTCATCTGTATTTACATAAATGAAAAATGATTTCATAATACCAAAATATATATTTATAAAAACAATATCCATTTATTAGTTTTCTTTACTTACTATTTGTTTACGCCCACGAATAATTCGTCGCCGAACAGCCAATCAAAACAAATCCTAAAAACGCTAGCTGTCAAATTCACCTAGGTAGGTAGGTAGGATGGTGCAAGAGAAGTTACCGTCGTAGGTAGTTTTACTAGGTAGGTATTTTGCCGTTTCTACCTAGCTAGGTGGTTTGGTGCAAGAGGCCTCAGCTTTTAAAGTGTTTGATTCAATTCGATTCTTGACTCGAAGAAAAATGACTGATTCTTGAATCTTGATTCGATTCCTGATTCGACTCTGAGTCGTATACAACCCTGGCTATTTCTCCATATTTTGCACTACACTTCCTCTCTCCAGTGGCCAGCGGTAAGGAAATAATAGCAGAATTGTAAGTTGGTGATACACAGCTGAAGGTTTGGCATGTGTACAGTAGCAGCTGCGGGTGGCAGCACGCGCAGCGTCGGCGCTCACCTCCTGGTAATACTTGGCCAGCGGGATCTTGGTGCCCTTGTAGTCGAACTCGGCCGCCGGCGTCTTGTCCCACATGATCTCGTCGATTTTGTACATGCGGAGATTGTGTCGGCACATGACGATGCAGCCCAGCAGCCGGCGCTCGGCGGCCGCGCGCGCGTCGCGTGGGAACTGGCGCTGGATGCTGCTCAGCTGGTTCAGCACGCTGTCCATGCGCAGCACCTTGTGCGACACGCTGACGCACATGAGCACGTTGTGCTCAAACTGGTTGACGGCCGCCCCGTATCCGGGCCATATCTCCAGCCTGGCGACACACGGCACCCCTGTCGGTGAGTTGGTGTACACAGGCACCAGGGGCCGCATTCACGTCGATCATTTTCGTAAGAATTTTCTAAAATTTTGAAAATTCTTACAAAAGTTTCTAAATTACTTCTCAAGTAATTTTCTTTATTCACGTGAGCTCCGTCGTTAAAAACTTAACCCTCGCCCGCACATGGGTGGCAACCACCCGCTGGGTGGTTGCCACCCCCCCCCCCCCCCAGTAGTTTTTCTGCTCTGCACTCAACATTTTTATAGCTAGAAGCCTGATTTTTGGTATAGCTGCTCCTCTATCCTTTCTTGATGTCCACTGAAAATTTCAAGTTTCTATGGTTTCTGGTTTCTGAGATATGACCTTGTTTTTCAGGATGACCAATTCCCAACATCTTACGTTGGCTATGGGTCTTATGAGCTTTTGACACCTTGATTTCGGCCTTTTTTGCCAGTCTTACCTCCCACTTATCATGGAACATGTTGTTCCACGATGTACAGATGTCAAGTTCAGGGTCAAGGTCAACCTAAGTCATCTAAAATAATTGCGTTTTAGGCAAGCTGAATTTACTTTTCGTGAAGTTTTTTGACTGCATTTTTCGTAAAAGCTTCTCAGATCATGATTCCATGTAACATGGACATATAAACAATCGGTGCACACATCATTATACACACAGACACACACATACATACAAACACATATCATTGACCTTGACCTAACTTGACCATGACCTAGTTTTTTGACTGCATTTTTCGTAAAAGCTTCTCAGATCATGATTCCATGTAACATGGACACATAAACAATCGGTGCACACATCATTATACACACAGACACACACATACATACAAACACATATCATTGACCTTGACCTAACTTGACCATGACCTCAGCAGCAAAAACCTGGTCGGGTAGTGTGACAAAGAGGTTCTAGCTGGCTTGGCACCAGAAAACGGCATCGTCATCGGTATGTGATAAGCAGCGCACTTGATATCCAGCGATGACCCAAACAGCAACATTTTTTAGTTTGACCTGACCTGGAAGGTCAATGACTGACCTGAGAAGGTAAAACTGGGTATCATTGGATTCGTCTCTTCCCGAAGAATCTTTTTGGTCTTACCGCGAAGCTCTACCTCTCCAACAGGAACGAAATGGCGCGGGGGGTGGTGTGGTGGCAGCCCCCCCCCCCCATGTGCGTTCTAGGATGGGAAAATTGCATGTGCGGCCGAGGGTTAAGAAGTGTCGACGTGAATACCAAATTATACTTACGAAAGAAAATCGACCTACGAAGTCGACGTGAGTACGGCCCCTAGTGTACCGAATTTGCGACGTCTAAGACTGTGCAGAGGTTCACTTATCACGTCATAGGTCAGTGACCTGACCTGACACGAAAATGCGTTTGGTGTCAAAAGATCCGGCTTGAATCAAAGGTTAGGTATTCCAAGTTTCAGCTCTCTACCGCCAGCGTGTTCGGAGCTATCGCGAAAAAAAAAACTATATGGGCCGGCGAGGGTTAAATGTTCAAGTCTTTCCTTGATTCCAATTTAACCCTTGCCGGCACAGGCCATTTTGCGTCCTTCGACGGCAGAAGGGGGGTGGGGGTGGGGGGGGGGGTGGTACGACCCCCCCTCGCGTTTGGCCCCTCATCGAGCTAGAGCTTCGCGGAAAAAACGAGCGTGTTGCCCGTCACGAGAGGAAGCCGATGATACCCAATTTTAAAGTCTTAGGTCATCGGGTGACCTTCCAGGTCAGGTCAATGACCCGAAAACCGGGAAAATCGGGACCTGTTAGAAAGTCGTAAAGTGTGGCTGTTATGTGGTTTTCCGGGGTGCTGATCACGAATATCGTGTTAGTTTTGATCAGAGATGATGTCTTGAAGCATTTAGACCAGGTCGGGTCAGGTCAGGTCAGGTCAACCAGTAGAGGTCCTGCCAGGTATTTGTAGTAGGTGTCAACCGCCTCTGACAGCCTCGTAACATGTTACGAAGGCACCAAAACTACTTTGTAAACGTTCATGTGGTTGCTTAATTCGAATTCAGCTCGAAAAAACTGACCTAGAAACATGTCAAACTCGAAAAAGTGAACCGAGGTCACCGGAGGTCACCGAAGGTCAATGACCTGACCTTCAGGTGACCTTGACACCCACCCTAATGTATGGGAGCAACATCAAATCACATGTTTGAACGCAGACATGTGCATGGATCAGAGAGCTGGATCTATGATCTCCGTGGATCTCTCGACAAAATAGAGGGGTTGGATCTAGGATCCGAGTGGATCTCTCGACATAATTCAGGGGTTGGATCTATGATCCGAATGGATCTCTCGACAAAATTTAGGGGTCGGATCTATGATCTCTGTGGATCCAGCGGGCAAAAATTTGTGGATGACCTATGATCTGTATGGATCTCACGACAACATGTAGCCAATGAAACCCTTATCCTATATAATTGTACACCTTACAGTGTGATACAATTGAGAATTGTCACTTGTGGACATGGTTAAGACCAGTTGTAATCATTAGGTATCATCATTAAATTTGAATTTAAATCAACAACATTTGTACTACATTTTAAATAAACCAAGAACATGCACATTGCTACTTTTTGTGACCAATTGTAACTTTTTCATGACAGCACTGATGACAATCTTATCAACAAGCTACAGCCACTTTAATTCAATGAACAAACAGTACAGACAGATGGAGTGGCAGCGGGGCACTGCAGATTTTCATTTTGGTCCCATTCTTTCCATGCAACGCCGGTAGGGCTAATGTTAAAATGCCAAAATCTATGGGGGGGGGGGGCACTGTACCCTGGTGCCACCTATGGACCCTGTTCCGCCACCTATGGACAGATGTTAGGAAATCAAACCTGGAAGCCAAATAGGTCAGTTTTGTTAAAAATAATCCAGCAATCCACTTCTGCCAGGTATGAAATCCCAATCCAGAATGTTCGTATGAGCTATTAGTATGTGCAACACAATTTCGCTAATACTTTCTTATAAAATTACAAGTGCAAAAATGGCATCAACTTCTTCAGATTACCTACTTTTGGCATCGTGCCAAGGCCATCGTGCCACGTGTGGTGCCATGCTGTGCTTTTGTTATGAGAGAGCCTCCCAAAAAAGACAAACGAAATTCACAGCTCACGTTTTGTTTTATTACGTCATTATCTTTTGATCAATGAAAAATCTTAATTTGACTAAAACCGTAATGATTCCAAAAGATTCCCCGTAATAGGCCCTTCAAACTAATCACGTAAGATTTTGTGATTCTTTTGAAAAGTGAATAAAATAAAGATGCAAGGCGCACACCCGGCTCAGGGCCATGTAATACCGTTTCAGCTTACGTTTACGTCATCAAATTCAACGCTACAAAGATGATATTCACAAACAATCGTATCGTAAAATTATGTGAGGCAGAAAAAATGAACATTATTTTGAATAAAACTCCAGACTTAAGAATTTCCAGTTTGATTTTTTATTTATATTCATTACACTCGAATGTGGAACGCTTAGCTCATTTTTTATTTGAAATGACGTCATGAGTTCAATTTAGGTACTGAATAATCATTTTACGGTAAATATCCAAGGCCATTACAATTGATAATTCGCTTCCCATCGCTTCCGCAGGCTGTTGAATATTTTTATACTTTTGTTTATATCTCAGTTTATTTTATCAAATATTTCTTTCAATAGATTGAAATAACTTTACCTAACCAAACCACATGTGTCAGTATCATCTTTTATTGTTTATCAATCAATTGTGTTAGCTGGAAACTGGAAAGCCTCATGGGTTGTCTAATGCAAGATTGTCTTATCATTAATATCATTATGTAGATTCTAACATGAATTGTGATGTGGTAGGTACCTAGTAATGTATTGTTCTTTAGTCATTACTTTGACTTACCTCTACGTTAATTGTTAATGCAAACTTTTCTGTTGGTATGTGAACATCTTCATGTCACTCAATTCTCTCAAGTTGTGACCGTCATGAACCCCTTTATTTTGTATTCTGTATAATGAACTAGATGCCTTTACTAATATGGCTTTTGTATAACATTGTTTGTTTCTAACCATACTTTGGTATTCATAACTTCTTATGAAAGAAAGTTGTTAACATTTTGAGCACCTATGAGCTATGATCCCAATGGATCTCACGACAAAACTGGGGAGCCAGATCTATGATCCGAGTGGATCTAGCGACAAAATTGAAGGGTCAGATCTATGATCCCAGTAGATCTCTCGACAAAATTGAGGGGTTGGATCTATGATCTGAATGGATCTCGGATCGGGATCCATGGGATCGGATCTCAGATCCATTTTTCCGGATCCAAGCACATGTCTGTTTGAACGTTTGAAACCACGAAAAGCTTGCAAACGCGCGGCTAATGCGAGCAGACATACGCCGAATCGCGATTCCGGCCAAACATGGTCTCGGAAAAGAGGTCACAGGTCAAAGGTCATTTGGGTCAGGGTCATGAAATTTTCAGGGTAGGTGTAAAATTGATCAATGCGAGGGTACTGAAAGTTTCGTCGCGATCGGCCGCTTTTTACGCGAGTTATTCGCGAAAAACCTTAGGGGGGGTTGCATCACCCCCCCCCTGTGCCGGCGAGGGTTAAGCAATTAGTCGCAGCGTGAATCCTTTATCCTAAACACGTGCGGTCTGAGACTCTAAGCACGGCCACCCCGGTCGACCACAGGCTGCAGCCAATTGGTCAGTTTGGATCAGTAAGTGAACCTGCATATTTGTTTTTTTTTTTGCCAAAGAATTGAGATTGTGCCTGTCGATCAACGTATATTTTACCGTTTCGAGGTCGCATGGATGCGTATTTTGAGAATAAAATGTCTGCAGCCCGAGCTCGTTTCATATCTCGTGCTAAATATTCAACAAGATCAAGGTTTGTTGATAAAAAAAACACCGGGCTGCAAATTGCATTAAATGGATTTTATGAAAAATCAGCGAAAATTGGCTCTTATACTCGTGTTTTGCAACACCTAGTAAATCATACATGAACATGCCGAAACATTTTAGACTGACGCCCCTGTCATTAGCTGACAATGGCGCCCCTCTCAAGGGAAAAGTCACCCCCTCCAGCACCGTGCTCCCCCTTTCGCTGATTTCTGGCTACGCCACTGGTGATACCGATGACCATCTGAACGCGTGTGAGCTAACGATGCTGAAGTGACCTCCAGGCTTTAAAACTGGATGTGAGTATCGATCATGGACGACATTAAACAACGTACATTTGACATTTTCCACTGCATGCGACAAATTCTCTATTTATGGGTTTGAGGTCCAAAATCTATGATAGCTTGCTGTGAAATCAACATCCCTCCCCCCCAAAAAAAAAACTCGGAATTCGTCCACTTTATTTTGAATGGATCCTATCACATTTTCAACAACAACAAAAAACTATAAAATGGAAAAGTCGCCCATGGGGGAGGGGGGCAGCCTCCATCGCCCAGCTGGAATCCGCCCCTGCCTGTCAGTCCGTCTGTGTTCTAGTGCCAGCCGCCCGATCGAGGTGTCACCCCCATTGAGGTGACAGCCGCGCCAGGCCCCCCCCCCCCGCCCGTCAGTGTGGCCAAACGCCAGATTAGCGCGAATTTAATCAAAAAACGAATTTTGGAATTTTGACTTTTTATACCTATCAGTTGATAGGAAATTGTCTAAAGTGTGTCAATATCACAATACTTTGGTTCAATGTCTTCCTTTCGGTGTCCAAAAAGCTAGCTAAAGTGGACATACGCAATGCCGGTCCCGGCTGTGGTGAACTCGTCGAAAACCCGCGTCACGTTTACAACACATTTTGGCGTAATTGTCGGAAATGTTCGGAAATAGTTGGAGTGGCATATGACTACTGAGCCTATATTTGATAGTATACCCGAATTCTATAGGTATCCTTGGACTAACCGATGAGTTATGCTCATTTTAAAATTACCTTTACAGACATCCCCTGAAAACACTGTCCACCGTAAAAACGTAGAGATATAAGAAAATGGCCAAAAAAACTCCACGCCAAATCTACCATGAGAAGATTCGCCACACTTTTCTGGACATGATCCATTCAACAAACCCTGCCCCAACCTGCCCCCCAGCCTTTGGCTCAGCTTTGAACGTATCGGGTTGGGCCCACCCGGGGAGGTCCGGCTACAGGGTGGGCGCGGCGGCGGCTCCGTAACGTTACGTGGATGGCTCAACCGCTGTATTTCTGACTTCTTATAGAATACGGTCGCCGATGAATAAATCTTGGCAATTTGTTAACCCTCGCTCATACAGGAGGTGAGGTTGGGGGTCGAACGGACCCCTCTCGGTTTTTCGCAAAAAGCTCGCGTAAAAAGCGGCCGATCGCGACGAAATTTCTAGTACCCTCGAGTTTATCCATTTTACACCTACCCTTTAAATTTCACGACCCTGCCCCCAATGACCTTTGACCTGTGACCTATTTCTCGAGACCATGTTTGGCCGGAATCGCGATTCGGCGTATGTTTGCTTGCATTAGCCGCGCGTTTGCAGTCTTTTCGTGGTTTCAAGCGTCTAGACTCTAGACATGTGATATTATGATATGAGTCCCATACATTATGGTCGGTGTCAAGATCACTTGAAGGTCAGGTCAGATCAATGACCTTTGATGACCTCGGTTCACCTGTTTTAGTTTTACATGCTTCCAGGCTAGTTTTTGGAGCTGATTTCGAATTTAGTAACCATTTGAACCTGACCTATATACGGCCTTGATTTGAACATTTAAGAAGTTTTGGTGCCTTCGTAACATGCAACGAAGCTGTCAGTGGCGGTTGACACCTACTAATTATGAATACCCGGCAGGACGCCTACTGGTTGGCCTGACCTGACCTGACCAGACATACGTTCGCGGCTAGCAAAACACCAATACGGGCGAGGGTTAATGTCATGAAGGTGCTTATGGTGCAAGTCTTTGTTTTTACTCCCCTTGCTGAGGTTCAGTCCTATCGGTGCGTGTATTTCAGCAACTGTCTACCGATTCATGTGCTTCACCAGGAACTTTCACACAGAAACATAATTATATGCTGATCTTTTTTTCAAGCAAACTTTAGACAATCATAAGAATTTACCAGAGAAATGATGGGAATTTCGTAAACGATTCCTCTTCCTAGCATGCCCATCATTACTGGGACCCACAATTTTATGCCTCTTATTTGCGGTTAAATTCCAGGATTTCGTAATCAGAGTCGGAGTCGTTCGGAGTCAACAGTTCTGACCCCAGTCAGAGTCGGAATCGGAGTCGATTTTGGAATCCGGACAAAGACTCGTAGTCTGAGTCACCGAAAATCCATCGACTGCGTGGACTTGCCATGGCTGCGGAGTCAGAGTCCAAGTCGATCGTAGTCGACAGTTTTGCTCGGAGTCAGAGTTGAAATAGCCTTTTGAAAGCCGTAGTCACAGTCGGAGTAACTCCATCGACTTCACAGCCCTGGCCTGGTAAGCACATCACCCGTCGTAAGCTAGTTCTCATTACTTTTAGAGGCGGAACTATGCCATAATATGTCAGCAAGCATTCATAATGCATCGTAAAAGGTCTCACGGTTTAAATGTCAATTTTGAAACCAGGGAACCATTTTCAACGGATCCGAGCAGCGCTGGGATTAAATTCGCGCTAAACTGGTGTTTGGCCACACTGTGCGCCGGTCAGTCTGCTCCCACCCGTCAGCGCGGACCCGGTGGTAGCCAGTCTCGCCAGCCTACTCGTGTCTCGTCGCGCTCGCAGTAGTCTGATGGGACTCGTCGTCACGCTCGCTATGTAGCCACGTCCGTAGTCTGATGGGACTCGTCGTCACGCTCGCCTTCTAGTGCCCAGTCAGTTGTTAACTCGCACGTACCGTTTTCGTTCAGAACTTTGCCGCTCGTGACAATACAACTGTGCCAGGACTTGACCTTTCCATCACGCCGCGACGTTGCACTCACGCTCTAACACACGCTCAGCTGCTAACTACTATCAGGTCAGCCAGCGCAAGGAAGCCCAACAATTTAGGCCAGCACTTATTTATGATTGCATTGCAAGTAGATAAATTGCTTAATGGCGTACATTTCAGTGAAAACACTGTCAATATGCACTGTTAACCATCATCATTAGTCCGACGATTCAATTCGGGCATCCAGATCCACCTCTTCACAATGGTTAGATATATTGGACAGGTATGTATGCTAACAAATATTTATAGGTGCGGAAATGTACTAAAGAGCAAGTAGCCTACGAATATATTCAAGGTGTCTGATGTAATTGTAATTTATACGCCTATCTGAATAATTGTAATTTATATGAAATTGTATTCGTAGGCTACTTGCTCTTTATTACATTTCCACACCTATAAATATTTGTTAGCATTTTATTTTTCACCAGTTTTAGCACCAAATATACAATTTGTGGTTAGCGGCCCTCAAAGACTTTGTTTGCCAATGTGACTAACTTACTGTCCACGGTCGGCCGACTGAGCCTGTTTCATGTCGAAGAACTCCCTGTCCTGTTTGCGCAGTTTGGTGTAGCCGATCAGACTCATGCACTGGTTGGTGATGATATTGAAGATGTTGATGAATTGATGATCCATCGGCGGCACCTCGTGAGTGAACTTGATGAGAATTCGCACCTTCGATCCGTCAGACTCCTTCACGCTGAGCAGCTCCAGCTCCTGTACAAGGCGAAACAGACACGTGAGCCCAGCATGGTTCATCGAGAACGCTCACCATCGCTCGACGATAACCTCGAAGAAAATATACCACTTCAATCAAGTAGCTTTTCTGGCTAGTTTTAAGATTTTTCTTTTGCTTAAAATTATCAGAAAAGAAAACGATAGAAAAGGAATATTTAAATTGTTTTCATGCATGAGGAACCATATTCCGTCTTTGGTAGAGACTAGGTTTGGAGCGCACAGTAGGCGATTTCGCTATCCTAGCACTTCATGAGATATATCTAAGTTAGACTCAAAACCAGTCATCTTTAAACCCCTTATTTTGTGCCTAGTTTCATTGCGCTTCAACTGATATAAGTGTTTGCATCAGAAGTAATTGGGTTTTCTTTGAAACGTGCAAGAGAGCGAGCAATACCTTTTCCCCATAGGCTTAATACAGGACAGAAGAGGCTTAGCGAAAACATATACAGTATTGTCTGTGTTGTAACTCAACTACACCTTTTTAGGCTCAAGTTCGAATAAGTCAAGTTCAAATTCGAATAAGTCAAATTCATATTGGAACATACCAAATGCAAAATCGAATACCTCAAGCTCAAATTGAGATTTGCCAATATCAAATTGGAAGAAGTCAAACGCAATTTCGACTTACTCAAGATCAAATTCGAATACGTCAAATTCAAATTAGAATAAGACTAATTCAATTTCATCGCAGCAACCATACCGTAAATAAGTGGAATTCTTATTATGCTATTATACTAGCATTATTATTATTATATTATGCTATTATTATTACGATATGCTAATGGCCATCCGCCCTCGATCGAATTTGGCTGTCGACTCCCTTCTCGCCCCGTCTCGGTTCGATAAAAGACTGTGCGTCATATACTCGGTTAAGTAAAAGTTTGAAAAATGGAACACTGGCAGATATTGATACTCTGCAACTGTTATTTTTGTTGTTGTGTGGTTTTTCAAGTGAAGGTATGTTTAGAATTGTTCTGCCTATTTGTTAACCCGGCAGTTGCTGGGGTATTTCGCCACCCACCGTTTGCTGGGGGGGGGGGGGGGCGTTAAACGCCCCCAGCCGATAACTCGAGAACCAATAGGCGCAGCGAAACGCACGAGGCGGCAAACGAAAGAACGCGACGAGACGCTTTAGATGAGTGCTTTAAAGTTGAATTTTGAGGTCACAGGTCGGGTCAAGGTCAGGTCAAACACCTGAAATCGGGCTTTCGGTAGCATGGACTTCAGGACTTCGCAATGAGCGCCTCTCGTCATAAACTCCGTCAAAACGGTGCACAATTCATCATATAAGGCCTACAAGAGTGTCAGCCCCATGTAGGGGTCAGTCAAGCATAGGTCAGGGTCAAGGTCAGGTCAACCGGGTAGGCACATATCCACGAAAATCAAAACTGATATTCGCAGTCTGTGACACATGTTTTATGGGTAATTTGGGGCGTAGAACACGATGGTGACATTCATTTTATCATATGTGTACGTGTTTGGCTCAAAAAGTTCAATTTAAGAAATGTATGTGTAGGCGCTGCTCGTACGTCTGCTCGACTCAGCTGCTCGGTGCGCGGTTAGGTCGACAGTAGCGCCCCCCGTGGCCCTCCTGCTTGCGTAGCTCGGCAATAGATGGCACCGCCGGCTAGTGGCAGTACATGTGTATGTGTGTCAGTATTAGCGCAGTATAGTGATGGCAGTATTGAACTCTCGGTTGGCGTTTGTTTTTTGATTGTCGTCATTGGCTTAAGATATCTCGGCATATTATGTGTCGTGACCCTCATTATGATATGTGGCGATTTGGTATACCTGTCTTTCGGTTTCTATTGGCATTTTTATTCATTGGCGATTAGAGGTGATGTAGTCGTGGTACGCTTAGTGATGTTCATTTCGGTTTCTGCGTTGAGTTGGACGTGTGGCGCGGCGTGCCCTGTAAGTGAAATGGTTCGTATGGATAAAATTGTATGCCATGATTGTAACGTTTCGCATAATTTCCATTAATTACCGTTTTGCTGGTTTTTACGTGGTCAGCTCTGTTACAGTTTGGCTCTTACCTGTACCATTTAGACGGATTTGTTTCGTTTCTTTGTCACTGTTACGCCACATTTGTAAATGGGGTGTCGCATGCAGGTTGCGCCCGGTTTTTGGTGCGAATCATCCGTGGCGCCTGCTTCTGTTGGTGGCGCCGGTTGGTGCGGCGCTCGACGTACTGGTGGCGCCGTTGGTGAGGCGTTCGGCGCGCTGGTGGCGCCTGCCTGGTGTGGCGCCCGACGCCTCGACAGCGCCTGTTTGGTGTGGCGCGCCCGGCCACGTACTTTGGCGCCTGGTTTTGGTGGCGCTCGAGCACTGTGCTCACTTTGGCTGCCGTCTACATCCTGCCGAGAGTCACTCCGATGGTGAGGATATGATTATTGTTTTGGCGTAAGTGTGTGGGCATAAGTACGAGATTTGACTTAAGTGTAATAATGTGAGATAGCACCTCGTATAGCTATGTTTCTGTCCCTCACGCCTATGTTCAACTGTGGTATGTGTTATATTTGTTTGTGTGTCTTTGGCAGAAACCGTGCTCATGCACATGCGCTGTTACAATACAGCGTGGTAATCATCTGGCCTTTTTGGCGGAGCGGAGCAGACGGCGGCTACAGTTTCATCGGACTCTTCTCTCCCTGCACTCCTGCTTGACGAGGAGCTGCTGCGGAGTTCGTCAGACTGACTCGTCCAGTGAGGTTTCATCTGGCGTCTGCATACATGAGGTACTGGGGCCCACATTCGGTCAGGGAGATTGGAGGTGTCATCACCTGGTGCCTTGTGATGCCTTCTAGTTTGATGGTCCTAGCAGTGTTTGCTGGGCAGTAAGAATCGCAGTGACATCTGGTGCCAGTAGCTACAGTTTGGTGTGATGCAGACAGCTTGGGGTATTGGGATTGGGAGGTGTGACACATGGTTGGCTATGGTGGAAGCTGAGGTTCATTGTGTGTGCTGCTAAGTGTGTGAGATTGTTGATATTTTGGGTTCTGATGTATCCTGCTTTGGTTGGTTGTTATTGTTATGTATGTCAGGCATCTGTTTAGCTTAAGTCTTGCAGAGAGTTATTGGTGGTGACATAGGCTATCATCTGCAGGTAGGTAGGTCTTGGTATTATCTGATATGGCTTCTCGAGATGATATAAGTAATTATAGGGCCTCTGAGCTGCAGCGCTTGCTAGAAGAGCGTGGACTAGATACATCGGGCAAGAAAGTAGAGTTAGTTGATAGGTTGTGGGCGGCAATGGAGGAGGAGCGGGAGAGTAGTAAGGTAGCAGTAAGTGAGGGAGTTAGTGCTCCAGAGGAGCGTGCTGTGCTGCAGGGTCAATTGAGATTTTTGAAAGAGAGAAGTATGCTAGATGAGGAGGAGGCCCGTATAGAACAGATGCAAAGAAAGATAAAGGCTAGGCGAGAGCAGTTAGTTCTAGAACAGAAACTTGCTGCCATGGGACATGATGTCACTGAGGATGTTAGGATTCGAACGGGGCATAGTGACATCTCTACTGCACTGACAGAGCAGGTGCAGCGGTCACTGCTGCCTCCTGCAGCTTTGACTCCCTTCCGTGGTGAGATCTCAGAATATCGACTTTTCATTCAGGCCTTTGAGTCCCGTGTAGCGGCCAGGACCGGGGATCAATCGGAGTTATTATATTATCTCGAGCAATATACCCAAGGGAAGCCCAGGGAGATCGTGCGCAGCTGCCTCTATCTCGGCGATCAGGGCTATGCTGAGGCCCGGCGTTTGCTGGAGGTGCGGTACGGTAATCGGCATCTGCTCATAGAGACCTTCTCGGATAAGCTCAGAGACTGGCCCAAGGTAGCTGAAGGGGATGTTGAAGGGCTGGACAGGCTGGTGCTGTTACTGACAGAGATCCAGCATGCCATGGCTGGCCTCCCAAAGGGGGAGCTGGACCACCCGCGAACCCTGAGGGATGTTGTACGAAAGTTGCCTGGGTACTTGCAGGATCGGTGGCTCAGGGAGGTCGACAGGGTGATGGACGGACCAGAGGGCCGGATGGTGGAACTTAAGGACCTGGTGGATTTTCTGGCAGCTGAGGTCAGGGTAAAGAGTAATGCGGTCTTCGGATCGCTGCGGTCTGGACCGCGGGCGTCTGGCGGCGTGAGTCGCGTCGATCCTCATCGCGCGCGCGTGAGTGCTGTTAACGCTCGGCCGCTGCCGTCGTCAGCGGGCCGGCGCTGCGAGTTCTGTGATGGCAATCACTTCATTGGGGACTGTGATCAGCTGATGTGGCAGACCTGGGACCGTAGAAAGGGGGTTGTGTCTGATCACAGGCTCTGCTTTGGGTGCCTGAGAAAGGGACACGTGGCGAGGTTTTGTCGCTCGCGGCTGAAGTGTAGCGTCTGTGGTGCACGGCACCCTACTGTGCTGCACAGGACGTTCTCATCGGCGCCACCTGGTGCGGGTTCTTCCCCAGGATCTCGTGCTGTTCAGGTTCCGTCTGGTGGGAGCCATGTGCCGCCTGGCAGCGCTCAGGTGCCCGGCCGGGTGAATCAGTCACCTACCGAGGCGATCCGTGCGGTACCGGGGGGAGGTCGCACATCTGTTCGTGGTGTGCCGGGCCCGAGTCAGCCGGTGCAGGATGGTGCTGGTGCCGGTGGGGGTCCTGTGGGTACCCGTACGGTTCAATCGCTCGGTGGAGGTGGAGCATCCATGGTCAGTGCACGCGTGGATGTCACTGATGATGTACGTACTTACATGCCGATAGTCCCGGTTCGGCTAAGGTCGAGCACGGGCAAGGAGATTGTAACGAATGCCTTCCTGGACCAAGGCAGTTCTACCTCCTTCATTACTGATCAAACCATAACTCGATTGGGGGTAGAGAAACGGCCGACGACGATTCGCATAGATACGGTGACGGATTCAAGGCAGGAGTTGGACTCCGGCCTCGTTGAAGGCGTAGAGGTCGCGCCTCTCGTTGGCGATCAGTACCGTTGTCTACCGCCCTTATTCTC